TAGGGTGGGTTTGAATCGGACAGAGCCAAGGAATCAGAGGAAAAAAGAATTTTGATTGTAGCCCATTCGGTTCAAAAGTTATGATGATAAACATACGTGAAAGTTTGGACAAGTGGTGGCGCTAGAGAGTTTGATTTTGAGACTTCATAATTGGCCTAATTAATGTTAATACTGGCCTCTATCATTGTGCCAAATTATACAACTTTCCCGCATACGCCTATATGGGCTGCCATTCAAATCCGGCGGAAGAAACGGAAGAAGAAGAAGAAGAAGAAGAATAATAATAATAATAATAATAATAATAATAATAATAAGAACACTAACGAAAGCAATAGGTGCCTACGCACCTACGGTGCTTGGCCCCTAATAAATATAGCTGCAAGCAGCAATTAAGGGGCCAAGCACTATTGGCCATAAGGTGGCGCTGCTCCAGACGTTTTTGAGTACTTTCAGGGCATGGGGTTGAAGATGCATACCATGTTTTGTAATGATATGTGAATGTGTTGGTAAAATATTGCATTTTTGGCCAAAAATCGAAATGGGCGACGCCCAAAATGGCTGACCTGTGAAAATCAAACATCATTCGACTCGGCATGCTCTGCCGGATGTAATGAGACCAGTTTCATGAGTTTCGGACGAAAAGTTGAGACGTTATAAGCCAAAAAGCAAGTTTTTAGTATCTCCGGACCACTAGGGGGCATTGAGCCGAAACTCCGCAATTAACCTTAGACCCTAGTTGTCATAACACACACCAAGTTTGGTGTGAATCGGTGAATGCGTTACGGAGATATCGTCTCAAGTCCATTTTTGCAAGTTCTACGTTAAATTTGATTGCAAGTTTAACAAAAACGGTTGGTCAAATCAACTTGAATTCCATAACTTTTGATTGGCATGGTCTGTAGATCATGTGATTCAATTTGGGTGATAATCGGAGAAACGGCCTAGGACGAGTTCGATCAAATAGGTTTTTCGAATAATTTAAAATAACGCGAAAAAATTCATGACGGAAAATGACGTCATAGGGTGCGTTTGAATCGGACAGAGCCAAGGAATCAGAGGAAAAAAGAATTTTGATTGTAGCCCATTCGGTTCAAAAGTTATGATGATAAACATACGTGAAAGTTTGGACAAGTGGTGGCGCTAGAGAGTTTGATTTTGAGACTTCATAATTGGCCTGATTAATGTTAATACTGGCCTCTATCATTGTGCCAAATTATACAACTTTCCCGCATACGCCTATATGGGCTGCCATTCAAATCCGGCGGAAGAAACGGAAGAAGAATAATAATAATAAATATAGCTGCAAGCAGCAATTAAGGGGCCAAGCACTATTGGCCATAAGGTGGCGCTGCTCCAGACGTTTTTGAGTACTTTCAGGGCATGGGGTTGAAGATGCATACCATGTTTTGTAATGATATGTGAATGTGTTGGTAAAATATAGCAATTTTGGCCTAAAATCGAAATGGGCGACGCCCAAAATGGCTGACCTGTAAAAATCACACATCATTCGACTCGGCATGCTCTGCCGGATGTAATGAGACCAGTTTCATGAGTTTCGGACGAAAGGTTGAGACGTTATAAGCTAAAAAGCAAGTTTTTAGTATCTCCGGACCACTAGGGGGCAGTGCGCCGAAACTCAGCAGGTAACCTCAGACCCTAGTTGTCATAACACCCACCAAGTTTGGTGTGAATCGGTGAATGCGTTACGGAGATATCGCCTCAAGTCCATTTTCGCAAGTTCTACATTAAATTAGTTCGCAAGTTATACGAAAACGGTTGGTCTAATCAACTTGAATTCCATAACTTTTGGTTGGCATGGTCTGTAGATCATGTGATTCAATTTTGGTGAAAATCAGAGACACGGCCTAGGACAAGTTCGATCAAATAGGTTTTTTAAAAAATTTAAAATAGCGCGAAAAAATTCATGACGGAAAATGACGTCATATGGTGCGTTTGAATCGGACTGAGCCAAGGAATCAGAGGAAAAAAGAATTTTGATTGTAGCCCTTTCGGTTCAAAAGTTATGATGATAAACATACGTGAAAGTTTGGACAAGTGGTGGCGCTAGAGAGTTTGATTTTGAGACTTCATAATTGGCCTGATTAATGTTAATACTGGCCTCTATCATTGTGCCAAATTATACAACTTTCCCGCATACGCCTATATGGGCTGCCATTCAAATCCGGCGGAAGAAACGGAAGAAGAAGAAGAAGAATAATAATAATAAATATAGCTGCAAGCAGCAATTAAGGGGCCAAGCACTATTGGCCATAAGGTGGCGCTGCTCCAGACGTTTTTGAGTACTTTCAGGGCATGGGGTTGAAGATGCATACCATGTTTTGTAATGATATGTTAATGTGTTGGTAAAATATAGCATTTTTGGGCAAAAATCGAAATGGGCGACGCCCAAAATGGCTGACCTGTGAAAATCAGACATCATTCGACTCGGCATGCTCTGCCGGATGTAATGAGACCAGTTTCAAGAGTTTCGGACGAAAGGTTGAGACGTTATAAGCCAAAAAGCAAGTTTTTTGTATCTCCGGACCACTAGGGGGCAGTGCGCCGAAACTCCGCAATTAACCGTAGACCCTAGTTGTCATAACACACACTAAGTTTGGTGTGAATCGGTGAATGCGTTACAGAGATATCGCCTCAAGTCCATTTTCGCAAGTTCTACGTTAAATTAGTTCGCAAGTTAAACGAAAACGGTTGGTCTAATCAATTTGAATTCCATAACTTTTGGTTGGCATGGTCTGTAGATCATGTGATTAAATTTTGGTGAAAATCGGAGACACGGCCTAGGACGAGTTCGATCAAATAGGTTTTGCGAAAAATTTAAAATAGCGCGAAAAAAGTCATGACGGAAAATGACGTCATAGGGTGCGTTTGAATTGGACTGAGCCAAGGAATCAGGGGAAAAAAGAATTTTGATTGTAGCCCATTCGGTTCAAAAGTTATGATGATAAACATACGTGAAAGTTTGGACAAGTGGTGGCGCTAGAGAGTTTGATTTTGAGACTTCATAATTGGCCTGATTAATGTTAATACTGGCCTCTATCATTGTGCCAAATTATACAACTTTCCCGCATACGCCTATATGGGCTGCCATTCAAATCCGGCGGAAGAAACGGAAGAAGAAGAAGAATAATAATAATAATAATAATAATAAGAACACTAACGAAAGCAATAGGTGCCTACGCACCTACGGTGCTTGGCCCCTAATAATAAGAACACTAACGAAAGCAATAGGTGCCTACGCACCTACGGTGCTTGGCCCCTAATAATAATACAAACAACAACAACAACAACAACAACAACAATAACAATAATAATAATAATAATAATAATAATAATGCATTTTATTTTTAATATACTACAGTATAACTAAACTAAACAATACAAAAACACAAATTTTATTATTAATAACTGTGTCTGTTATGGTTTGTGGGAGTTTTTGTCGCTTTCTTCCTCTCTGTCACTCTCTCTCTCCCTGTCTGTCATTCGCTCTTGTTCTCTCCCTATCACCTTTTGTTCTGCTATTTTTGCCTTCACAGGTTTTGTCCTCGTAGACCAATGAGGCTTTGTTCCACAGACTTTAAATTTGACTGGCACGCCTCGCTGTTCAGTGCTGTGTGTCATAACACTTGTTTCTGTTTATGCATTATGATTTGCTCCTTCCTGTTTCTGAACTGAAACAAAAATCTGTAATCCCAATATGGTTTAAAAGTTTATCATTCCTTTTTGCGAAAAAAGGAAAAGGTTAACAGATTGTGTGACATACATTCTGCCCGTAGCTAGATGAATGATCAGAAACATTAGCTAAGTGGGTGAATGGTGCTTTTTGTATTATTATTTTTTTAATATTATTTAAGGAGCGTATTTAGCGGTGTCAAATACGGCGAAGATTTCGGTTTACTTTTTTTTCATGTTTTTATTTCCTTTGTGAAGTTTATTTACAAACTAATTTCGGGAGGATCACATGCTTATGATCGTCCACGGTTGGTCCCACATTAGCTTATGATTGATTCACCAATCAGATGCAATAACTCACTATAACTCACAATAACTTTCTTATCTCAGTATCTTCGTCTTGAAGAATCTAGATGGGCGACACTGAGGCCCAGCGATTAGCACCGTTGCCTCACAGCAAATATTAAAGTCCCTACTAAACCAGTCAACATTTCTGTGTGGAGTTCATCATTCTCCCCATGCTCACGTGGGTTTTCCCCAGGTGCGTCGGTTTCCTCCCACTGTACAAAAAACCTGCAACCTAAGTAAACTGAACATACCAAATTGGCATCATAGTCAAGCCCTTAGCAAGCTGTTTATCACTCCTTAGCCATGCCTATATCTGTCATTAGCCAGAAATACGTCAGAGGGAGTTTATCGAGATCTACCTGAGGTCAAACTCCCCTCTCGCCCTGCTAATGGGAGGGAGCCCAGGGCTCGAGGATCTTATAAGCTAAGGGCTTTCTCCCGGGACCACATGCCAAACAAGCTTTATATTCACTCATCAGCTAAGTGTGAACTCTTGAAAGTTTAGAGGTGATCTTTGGCTCCACTCTAGTTGTTTTTCCTCCAGTAACTTTTGGTTTGGTCTTATTTCTGTGATTGTTTCTATTTATTTTCAATAGCTCTTTTTAAAGCTCACAAGCCTCACTCCTTTTTTGTTGGCTTTGCCATTTTCCCTTATAAAAGAATAAACAAGTTAATTGCTACAGTTGTTTGTCCTTGCTTGTATCCAACCTTTCAATCCTAAATGTTACGTTTTCTATACCTAGACACCTTATTCAATTTTAACAGTGTCTTAAGCAACTTTTTAAAGTTATCTTAATATGTTGAACAAATATAACTGTGTTTTATTTGTCACTTAATCAGTTAATTAAAAATTAATTTCACTTCACTTATCACTCACAAAAAGTAATTATTTTATGGATTTCCATCTTCATTCACTTATTTAAATTTATTTCAGCATTTATTAAGACACAGTAACCGCCCCCACATTAATTCCTCCTAATAATATATATGTAATCATCAATATTCTGCCCAATTTAAATGAATGCAATAAGTAACATCTGTTCCATCCAGAGGGACCCTCAATCTGCAGTTTTACAGTGCTCACCTGAGATTTCCTCCAGCAGGCAGGAATGCAGGGTAAACCGTCAGGAGATTATCCACTGTCAGCTGTCAGTCTCCCAAGTAAGAGCCGCCCGCTGTGAGAAAGACACACACACATACACACACTTGATCAGAACTGCTCTTTTCCACTGGCCCAAAATCCTGTACATCAAAAAAATGAAGCAACTCCGCCCTGTGCTGAATATACATCCCGTATTTTAATTGGATGCAATGCGAGCGTCGGGGGGACATAATGAAAGACAAGCAATTAAGCAAAAATGGGCAAGTCAGTGGCACCTTCGCCCCCTCGTTAAACGCCCAGGAGCCAGTTGCTTTGTCAGCCCATTTCTGATCCACTTCCTTTTGAAACAGCAAACATTAAAGGCCAGAAATGATTTGTTAAAATTAAAAGGAGTTCCCTCTTTGAAAGGCTATGATCATTTATCTTTCAGGATGCTTTAACAAGCCTTCGGGGGACAACAGTGTTGGAATATCTATGTAAATTAGAATGACTGTGGGGAAAAAGGGGGGCTGACAAGAGCAGTTGTTGTGTTTTCAGCCAATTAAAGTGTGGCTTTAAGTTTTTGTCCACAGAGAGAACAAGCGAGGAGTTAAAAAACAAAACAGTTTAACCGAGAATGGTTCAGAGAGAACTATAATCATTTACTGGATTATGAAAAAAGAAGCGAGCATGAATAATTCTTCAGCTTCATGATTGTCAAGAAGAAGATAGTTTAGCGGGTTTAGTGAGTTTAGCCTAGTATCTTTTTCTCTCCACTGTATTTTTCATCTCCCTCCACAGCTCATGAACAAGAAAAACAACTCTCGCCTCTTCACTGTCACATGGTCAGTGGTGGGAAAAATGACTTTGCTTTTGAATTAATATGACTTGCGGTCCAACCTCTCATGCATAGTAATAATTACAGCACACACACACAAAGGTTTGAGCACACATGCCTGAGGCTTTGCTGAGTTTGTATAACGGGTGACTGAAGACAGGCAGAAGAACAAGATCCCGACATGTGCAAAAATCTGTGGGTAAACAGCTAAAACCAACCATGGCTGCATGAAATCTTTACAAGCACTAGCATATATTATTTTCTCTGTGTGTTTTTGTATGTGTGCACAAAATGTCCCTGCTATCTGACATTTTAAAGTTTTATATTATAAAATATCACAGAAAATAGATTCCTGAGAGATCACAGCTGGACTCTAGAGGCTCTAATTTAATGATCTAGGTCTAAAGCACATGGCGCAAAAGCATTAAGGCTGTGTCTGAATTCACTTTTGCTATTTTAAGGACGGAAAAAAAACGCAATGCGCCACAACGCATGGTCTGATAAGGTTGTGCTTATTCTCTTAATGAGTTATTGGTGTTTTAAGCATAACGTGCATCAAACCAATCAGAGTCTCAACTCCCATTCCTTTTAAGAGTTAGTTGCATTACACCATGGCACATTTGCTATTTCATGGTGAACTAAGTAAGGGGAAACCTAAACGCTTCACTAGCAAGAAAACAATTTAACAGATAATCTGCAGCGTGAGGAAAAAGAACAAGCCTCCTCTATGCGGCCTCTTTGCTTTCTCTTTACTTTACTTTTACTCTTTACTTTACTCCTTTACATTTATGGAGATAAGGAAATGGTGTTGTACGAATCCATTAAGAATCCATATTTCTAAATTCAGTTCTAATTTTCAGTAAACAAATAAATAAACAATAAAAATGAAGTGTGGTCAAAAAAACTAAGATATCCAAACATACGCCCAATTCCCCCATATGGTGCAAAACCCAACAGGTGGACAGGTCTAAGCTTTTTTTTATTAAAACAAACATAAATATGCATATAATAAATACTATTACTACTACTAATAACACTATACAAAAACAAGTTGTCATGAATAAACTGAAAAAGCCACCTGAGGTGAAGAAGGCATGGAGGCAGAGTGTAACGATAAAGTGACGCTGACAACAGAGAGGGCGGATCCAAACACAGGGCTTATTAAATGGAAAGGTCAGGCAAGCAACAGTCAACACAGGAGCTAACAGATGTATACGGGCAATCCAAAATCGTAGTCAAAGTAACAGGCGAGTGGTCAGAAGGCAGGCAGCAGACAAGGATAAACAATAAAACAAGGCTAGGTTCAAACACGGCAAGACAAAGGAAAGAAAAACATGCCGTAATGTTTCACTATACAGATTCACAAGACTCAGCAACAATGTGTGTGTTTGTGCTGTATTTAAAGTCCATGTAATCAGTTCGTAATGGTCCTCCGGCTGTGAGAGTGTAATCAGTCAGGATTAATATCTGCTTGTGTGTGTGGTGCATGACTGGATATTGTAATCCGTAAATGGCGGATTTGTAGTGCGTTAGCGATCGGCAGCCAGTAGATTGTTGGTGATCATAACACAGTGGTTTTCATATTTATGTAGAAAATAGTCATTTTTGTACTATTTTAATTCTTTTATTCTTTTTTATTTGTTCAGATATTTGCGTATTGCTGTATGAAGAAATGGGTATTCATATAAGGCGCCCAACTAACGCGCCCTGTGCTGGACTTTAGAACTACTATCGGTTGTTCAATTGCGCAGTCTATTTTAGTTCCTCAATATAGCAACGCGTCAACAATGTGCCTTAACACATCTCTTTTCTAGGCTGGCACACCTATGATTCCACAAAGCGACGCAAATGGATTTGTCGTTTAAAAAACATGATGCAAACTGGAAAAATTAGGGCTGCGTTGGTCAAATAGCAACAATCAGGCATGTGGCACATAGGGCTCAACCTTGGATATCCTAGTCTTGGATATAAAGTGCCCTTCCAAAATGATCGAAAGTGCCCCCACGCCGCGACACACCCTCCGTCCCGGCCTTAAGTAGGCGCGTGACAACACCGCTCTTGAGTACGCGCGCGTCAACAACCCACCCCAGCTCTTCAAAAAATGTATCCTGCACATGCCCTTTGTACGGTCTCTGCACGGGCCTGGCAACAATCGTGGCAAAAACCTCTTGCACAGGGTGTATAATTAGGCCCTAGGGCTTTTCACATTTCATACTCTATTGACCATGTAAAGTATTCATTCATTAATTTTTCTGCAGCCACAGCCGAATGAACCACCAACTATTCCAGCATATGTTTTATGCAGCGAATGCCCTTCCAGCAGCAACAGCCCATTCCATCTCACATTCACACACTTATACACTACGGCCAATGTTGTTTATCCAATTCACCATGCCACCATAATTCGTCATATTGTCTATAGTAAAAAAGCACCATGAGCAATTTCAAATATTTACATTGAACAAAAATATTCATAAGCTTCATTTGATTGCAGTTGAACCACTAAAGTCACATGGAATATTTTGAGGTTGTTTTATTTTCTTTATTGGACTTTGAATGTCTTTGAGACCATTGCCATCAATGGAGGATGATGGAGCTGTTGGATCTAATCAACAAATATCTGCATTTGTGAAAAAATGTCTCAGAAGATTAAACCAGCATGAGGGTAATTAATTAAAAGCATAATTGCTATTTTTGGGTGAACTAATCCTGTTATGAGAATAAAAATGCTTCATGTTTTGAGGTCTTGTCAGATTTGGCTTGTGTCCCTCAAGAGCACTTCTGTAAAAATCTAAAAAATATCTACACATACAAAAACCTGATTCTGTTACTTTGTTTGAAGATGTTTTCACTGTTTCTCCCACACATCCGCATCCACAGCCGCTGTCCAGCAGTGCTGGAGGATCTTGTGTAAGTGCTTGGTGGATGTGTGTTAGCAGGGCACGTCTAACACACCTGTTACATCAGAGCTGGGATTTTAATCAACTCGCTGTATTCCACATGCACTCCTGAAAACATCTGTGACCCAGCCAGCTCTGAGACCACATGCACAGCATATCCTCACAGGGTCAGATGTGTTTGGGTTCCAGAGGAGATTTTTATGCACACTGTAATAAAACGGTATTAGTTTTATAGGCGGATATAATCATCTTATATAATCTTCTCATTCATTGCATTCAGTGAATTGGGATATTGAAGCTACTCTTAGTGATTTATGCACTACAAATGGCATTTTAGAAGTAATGGTTGTTTACAAACGGATTATAAAACACTCCCCTTTCCAAATTCCATATTTAGCTTATCAGGTGCTTTCTCGGACGTTTAATCATTTTGATCAAACCCATTGTAACAGTTAACCAAATAAAAAACTATTTATTTACACTTTGACATGCATTGTAGGAACTTGATCCCTTCACCAGCAACTTGATTTGTAAATTATAACTCTAAAGTTTAACATAGTGATTATTGTTAACAGTTTTAGAAGTTTTCAGCATTAAATTGTTTAAGAAATAATAATCACACTTAATTTTTTTTATGTACAATTATTGCTATTAACAAACTATGACTACTAATAACTATGACTTTTAGCTCAAACTCCTAATTTGCTGATTATCAATAGTTATAAGGTAGTAGTTGGGTTTGGGCATTGGGACGGACTATGGATGTAGAATAAAATCTGGCAGAATATGTACTTTATAAATACAAATAAACAGCTAAAATCTTAATAATATATATATAAAATAAGTCACAAGTTAACAGTGAGAGTCGGTACTTAAAAGTGTTAACATATAAAATATACACTGCATCTGGAAAGTATGCATAGAGCCTCACTTTTTCCACATTTTTTTATGTTACGGTCTTATTTCAAAATTGATTAAATTCATTTATTTACTCAAAATTCTACACACAATATCTCGTAATGACAATGTGAAAAAAGATTTTTTTGAAATTGTTGCAAATTTATAAAAAAAAAAAAAAACTGAAAAATCAAATGAACATAAGCATTGCTCAATACTTTGTTGATGCACCTTCGGCAGCAATTACAGCCTCAAGTCTTTTTGAATATGATGCCACAAGCTTGGCACGCCTGTCTTTGGAAATTTTTGCCCATTCCTCTTTGCAGTTCCTCTCAATGTCATGCTAAATCAAGAAAAACAACAACAACAAGGTGAATCCAATTGCAAGTGTTTAATGACCAATGGTCATAAATCAAAAGAGTGCAAAAACAATCCAAAACAAAATAACAATAAGTATAG